TTATGTCTATGGTCTGGCCAATCAGAGCAGAGTAGACCAATCACAACAGACTGAGCTGTCTGGCCAATCAGAGCAGAGTAGACCAATCACAACAGACTGAGCCGTCTGGCCAATCAGAGCAGAGTAGACCAATCACAACAGACTGAGCTGTCTGGCCAATCAGAGCAGAGTAGGCCAATCACAACAGACTGAGCCGTCTGGCCAATCAGAGCAGAGTAGACCAATCACAACAGACTGAGCCGTCTGGCCAATCAGAGCAGAGTAGACCAATCACAACAGACTGAGCTGTCTGGCCAATCAGAGCAGAGTAGGCCAATCACAACAGACTGAGCCGTCTGGCCAATCAGAGCAGAGTAGACCAATCACAACAGACTGAGCCGTCTGGCCAATCAGAGCAGAGTAGACCAATCACAACAGACTGAGCCGTCTGGCCAATCAGAGCAGAGTAGCTCGCGGAAAGGAGGGATTTAGAGAGATCGATTTATCTGACGAGTCGTTTGAGAATCATAAAAAATGTGGTGATGTGCAAATGTATATTATGAGGAAATGAAACAGTTTTTTTTATCTTTGATGCGTGTAAACCTGTTGTAGGAGACTCCAAAACTACATTAGGAAACTTTAAAATAGCATAATAGAGGCACTTTAAATGATTGCTTAAAGCTGCAGTCTGTATTTTTTCCTCTTTGTCGCCATCTCTGTTCGAAATCTGCAATTGCAGTCATTTGTGGAATTATCAACTTTACGTGAGTTGTAGTTCGACACCGCACAGCGCGGAGGAACACATTGAGGAGAGTGTGAGGCTGTCAGTCACAGCGCCGGTGTCGATACTGGCATTCAGAATCACAGATTATTCTTTTTGGAAGTATGACCAACATGATAATTTTCACCGGAAAATGTCATCTGAACTAGTAAGTAACATCCACTTTTGTTCTGGTTCTGACGTTGCAGTAAATCGCGCTGATTAAATCTAAAAATCGCTTATCATCACGCAAAACCGTGCAAATTATGCTTTTTTCTCAACTTGTTAATGTTAACAACGTCAGCATTGCGTGACTACATGTAATGTCCTTCCGATATTATCCTTGCTTTCGCATGGGCCGGTTGCCGTCTCTTTTTTCTGTAGCCACTCTGAAGTCCGAACGAAGTCTTTTGCATTTTACAGCGGGTGAATCTCCAGTTGTCGCTGGTGATCGTCGTTTGAACCTTTCTGGATCCGCCATCACATTATATTTTAATTATAGTTTAATTATATCAAATGCTGTGAGAAAAGGCTATAAATCTCCACCTCCAGCATCCTCACACGCAATATAGCTTATACTAGCCGAGACTCTTCTTTATGTGTACAGATGTGTGTGTACAGATGTGTGTGTACAGATGTGTGTGTGCAGATGTGTGTGTGCAGATGTGTGTGTGCAGCAGATGTGTGTGTACAGATGTGTGTGTGCAGATGTGTGTGTGCAGATGTGTGTGTGCAGATGTGTGTGTGCAGATGTGTGTGTACAGATGTGATGTAATAACGCAAAGACATGCTCAAATCTCCCGTGGAAATCCACCAGTACCACTGGAATTAAAAACATTATTACAAGCTTACCGCTTTGAATCGAAGTACGGCAAGCAGAGAGTGTTAAACACTGGCTGGTTATGTATTTTATCAAATATGTATTTTGGATCATTTTTAACCCCAAAAAAGCTACGGACTGCAGCTTTAATACTTTCATGTTTAGTGGGTTATTTCAATTATTTCTAGTGATAAAGTATATTTATGAGCTACTTAATTCATCAAATTCAATTAAAAAAAAAAAATTAAACTAAATTATTTAATTAAAACTAAATCCATCAAATGATCCCATGACGGGAACCCATGAAATGTTCTATATATGAAGCGCCTGACGGAACCTTTTAAGGTTCCATTTAGAACTTTTTCTTCTAAGAGTGATACAATGAAACACTCTTAAAATCAAGGTTCCAAAAGGGTTATGTTTCACAGTGATGCCAAAGAAGAACCATTTTTGGTTCCCCAAAGAACAGATCAGACTGAGCCATTTTAATAATCTATAATAATCATTTAAATATCTTTAATAATCTTAATAATCCTTTTCCACTATAAAAGCCTTCTGTGCAATGGAAAGATTCCATGGATGTTAAAGGTTCTTCAACCATCAATGCCAATTATTAAATAACCTTTATTTTTAAGAGTGAGTTAACTGCAAAACATGATGTTCTTCCTCAGTGTTTCAGTCTCGTTTTCCAGCACAAATTTCCAAACATTCTTAAATCAAGAGACATTTACTGGAGAAGAAGCAATAAAGTGAGTTTGTGCTTAAAACAAGAAAATATCTGCCAATGGAGTCAGAAAAATAAACTTCATTCAAAGGGAAACAAGATTATTTTTCTGACCACACTGGAAGATATTTGTTCTTGTTTAAGCATAAATTTGATACATTTTTCAGAAAGCAAAACGTAATATCTTCAGTCATTTTGCTTCTTCTCCAGTAAATGTCTCTTGATTTAAGAATGTTTAGATATTTGTGCTGGAAAACCAGACCGAAACACTGAGGAAGAACATCATTTCTCTGCTGTGAGAACTGAACAGACCAGAGCTGTGGTCACCGACTGTCATCACACCATCTGTGTGTTTGTGCGTGCAAATGTTCTGCTGTGACTGTGAGTGTGTTCATTTACAAACACTGCATCATGTGTGTTAGTGGGCAGACGGGTCTCGACAACACAAACAAGAGCAGAGCCGTCCGTCAGATGCTCATTTACTCATCTAACTTCATGCATTCTGGACACACACACACATGAGCTTTTACATCACGTTTGTTACCTAATAGTGTCTTCATCCATGACATAGAAGGTGAGCGTATGGAAGCCCGTTGGCAGATGAAGGGTGTATTCTTCCCCCCAGAATGGATTCAAGTTCTTCCAGACGGTCGCAGTTCTGGACGGGACACAGAAAACACACAGTTCACTAAACGCTTCACTGCAAACACTCCGCATCATCGTGCGGCACGCTCAGTTTAATACATGTATCAGAGCCTGAATTACAATCTGCCTGGATACAGAGAACAATTTAAATGGCCATAAGTGACGACGGTGGAAAACAATCAATCAATTCACCCATTTTCTCAAAGGGAGGCCTGAGCATTTCCATTTCAAAAGACATTTTTTTAAATATGCACCACACCAGGTGTGCTGTTCAGGAAACTCTCACAATACAGCATGTGAAAGCAACTCAACACACAATCTCACGCGCAATCGTTTTTTTGTTGTTGCAATTATTTAGTTCTCCGTGGTAACCAGCTGATGATGTAAAGTGCATTAATGCTTCCATCATTTGCATTAGTGTCCAACTGTGGTCGATCAATTAGATCAATAACAACACCATGATCGCCACAATTAATCACCATGCAAGCAATCAATGAAGGATTATGATGATTCATCGATCATGCAAAATATTGACAGATGCAATATGAATGTGTTTAGAGATGTGGCTTATACACTTTCACACACATTTACACATCTAGCTATATAAATGACGACTAACCTTGCATCTATATGTCTATATTAACAGCACTTGGTGCGTTTTAACCTGGCAGTTTAAAATGCTGTGTATATATATATATATATATATATATATAATATATATATATAGGGCCTAAAGCTAATTTTTTGCCACACCTGCCAATGGCTGTTGACTTAAAACTGCCATAAATATTCTTTAGCGGCCATAAAACAGACAGTAATGACACCAAAATTCACAATCCAGTTTCGATACCACAGCTAAAACTACTAGACTAACTAATATAAATGTAAAGACAAGTTATTAAAGACAAGTAAATTAAACAAGTTATTAAAGACAAGTAAAGCATCAGTAATAAAATAAGAACAAATCATCAAATTACAAGCAAAAGCACAAATAAATACAATGTAACAAAGATACGAATGAAATAAACAGTGTTCTTCCGGTGTGTCTGACAGTAGTTTTCACATACAGAGATTTCATAAAGTATGCAAATGTAAAATACCACTGCATAGTCCTCACTGTAAATTAAACATCCTTATTAATTTATTCGTATTAAAGTTACAAAGGTTATTCAGACAAGAGCAGTGAGAGATTTTTTGATTAACATCTTTGATTAACATTATAAACGCAGACAGCATCAGGAATATTAGGCTACTGTCACTTTAAGAGTGAATGCACTGATCTAATATACTGATACTGACATGCATTTACTTTCTCAACTGTTTACGTTCACTTAAAGGAGAACTCCGGCGCAAAATGAACCTTTGGTCTAATTACACATTGTTACCTAGTCAACCGTTATCTGAGATTTGTTTTCATGATTATCGAATGTAAATAGTTTTATCTCTAAAAACAGTTTAGTCTATAAAGCTAGTATAACGCTAGTATATTGGGCATAGTGTAATGACAAATAAAAATCGCTTGTTAATACCACTAACAAGGCTCAAAATAGCCCCACACTAACACGGTAGCATAATGAGGGTCCCTACCTTCAAACCGAAGCATTGAGAACTTTGTCAGTGTCCAGACAGTTTAATAAGAAGATATTTAATACATACAGTCAACTTCGCGTATACAGGCAGGAGCCATCTTTGAAAAACAGTCTCTACCAGTCGATCTACAAACGCCGATCCAAGCCTGCTGTTCGCGCTCACCTTATCACAACTTATAGCTCGTTCACATCTCACCAGCGCACTTGGATCGGCGTTCGTAGATCGACTGGTAAAGGCTGTATTTCAAAGATGGCTCCTGCCTGTATACGCGAAGTTGACTGTATGTTTAAAATATCTTCTTATTAAACTGTCTGGACACTGACAAAGTTCTCAATGCTTCGGTTTGAAGGTAGGGACCCTCATTATGCTACCGTGTTAGTGTGGGGCTATTTTGAGCCTTGTTAGTGGTATTAACAAGCGATTTTTATTTGTCATTACTCTATGCCCAATATACTAGCGTTATACTAGCTTTATAGGCTAAACTGTTTTTAGAGATAAAACTATTTACATTCGATTATCATGAAAACAAATCTCAGATAACGGTTGACTAGGTAACAATGTGTAATTAGACCAAAGGTTCATTTTGCGCCGGAGTTCTCCTTTAAGACATAACCGACTGTAAGAGCCAAATGTGTGTATCTTTTATTTTGGGCCACTAGATGGTGCTGTAGGCTCATGTATATATGTGAGGGGTCAACAGGTAGTAGGGAGGTGTTGACCCGGAAGGGCAAACAAGTTTTTGACCGCTACGGCGGAGTTTGATGAATGCTGTTGTCGTGTGAAGTTCTGGGAATCTTCGTGCTTGTGGACCTTGTGTGCTGTGCAGTTATGTGGAGGACAATAAAGATGGTAATATTGCAACGAAGACGATGCCTATGGAGTTACTTTGCACGTAACAACAAGTTCAACATTAGCTGCCTGGCGTGTCATAACAAGTAGCTACGGGACAACAACTCTAGCACAGTATTAGACTGGCTATTATACCGACTATGCTTACTATTTTTGACATAATTTTGTCCGCTCACCTGAGAGAAGACATGAAAGCGAACTCAGGTAAGTTTCCGCGCTGTCAGTGTCGTGGCTTTCTGGGCGTTCGCGTCGGATGTTTGCGCACACTAAACTTTCCACACAGCGCGTGAGTAACGAAACCAGCTCCCTTTCTGGTTTGCATCTTCTTGTGCTTGAATATTTTAATTGTCAAGGCTTAAACATTCGTGGCGATAGCACTCGCCCGTCAACTGTCCCGAGCGTCGTTCATGTTTGTTCACATTCATTGCTAGAATTCATACAATTTTTACCGGCCAACTGGCGAGTGACACCGTTTCATATACTAACCAACACTGAATTTGACATGCATTTGCCGCTTGGCAAGTGTTAATTTTAAGCCCTGTATATATGTGTGTATGTGTGTATATGTATATATACAGTCAAACCAAAAATAATTCACACACCAGATTTTTTTACTAGTGTGTGCAGGACACTACAGTTCATTTATAAGTGACTCGAGGAGAGCAAAATAAAGTAAACTGTGACATATTATACCCAAAAATTCTTCATACAGTGACTACCAGTAAAATGTAAAAAAAATTGGGGGCCAAAAATTACTCAGACACTTTGACCTGATCATGTTTTGCTGAAGTGTTTTTCTTTAATTGCTAATGCTCTTTTTACACAGACTGAACAACATGAAGCATTGATTGATCACTGGTTGACCTAAACTATTATTATCTAATTGTGTAGTTAAATTTAACAGCTGACGGATATTCAACATAATTCATGTGTGAGAGTCGAACAGAAGGACGGACAAAACCAGTCAAATATCAGCTGATTTGATAACTCTTGTCATACTTTATTACCATTTTCTAAACTATAGCGAATAAACTGTGATAATGTGATAAATGTTGAAGGTGTCTGAATAAATTTAGGTTTGACTGTACACACACACACACACACACACACATATATATATATTATATTATATATACACACACACACAAACTTTTATGTTAGATGTGATTAATCGATTTGACAGGCTGACACACTTCTATATAAACCGTAAGTACACACACAGGTAAGAATGTGAATCTCACCTGGCCACGACCTCATTGTCAACTTTGACGATGCAGTATGGATCACTGGTTCCAGAACTGGACAAAAACACACACAACACAACACCATCATCATCCTCATCATGTCAACAGCATTATGACTCCAGATCAGACACTTGAGATCATGATCAGCAGCATGACTCTCATGCATCACAAGACAAGCTGAGGTGTTTTGCGAGAACTTACACATCTTTTGCAGGCAGATTTCGTCCCTCGACGATGCGAAAGTACAGAGAAGTGTTTGTGGCCATGATCGCAGGAGCTTCATGTCACTGAAGATCTGCAGGGCTGCTGGTTTGGAGCTCACACATCAGCACTGCACGTCGAAATGAGGAATTCATCAAATAAGTTCTGCTAATTAAATCATAATGATACTAAAAGAAAAAAGAAAACGCTTCTATCTTCTTTAGAATACCTAAATCATGATGGTCAGGTGATGATTTGTTCAGATCCACACTGGAGTGGCTTCATCTGTCCAATCCATCCACGCGTAAATCCATATTCGTGTCATTCATCTTGAACCCACCAGTTTGCATTTTCTGAAGTCATTATATTATCTACATGCATTAGTCTCGATGTAACAGCGCGCGAGTCGTGATGCTTCTGACTCTGTTCTCGGATGATGATGATGATGATGAGAAGATGATGATGAGGAGGAGACTTCAGTGATGCTGATGAGAAACTGAGGGAACAGCGACATCTGCTGGTGAGCGGCGCACAGCGCAGCGACACGCTAATGAAAACACCACACACATCAAATAACTATTAAATTAAAAAAATTAGAACAGTGATTTAAAACAACAGTAAGAGGAAAAAACCTTGGGAAACGTGTTTTGAGAAAGAAAAGGAAAATGATGAATGCAATAAAACGAGTAACCTACAATAAGAAATTATTATTATTACTATTGACATGGATTACAACAAAGAAATTATTGTTATTTTGTATCGATGTCTATGTTTGAAATAGTGAATTATTATTTAAAACTCTAAGGCATGTGAAAGGGCAGCCCTGCGTGCTGAAGGACCCCAGGACGCCGCTGCTGCGCATGCGCAAACCTCCACACACATTTCCAAACAATCATCATTATCACCACTTGAATCTCTAATATAAGCATACTGTACAATCAGTGAAAGTTTGTATTTGTATTTAAACTCGACACACCTTAAACATTAATCTTTTCGTCTCTGGGACTTGAAACACAAAGCGGGTAAGTGTTTCGTTCAGTTTAATCTCAGTTTTAGTAATAAGATGATGCAGTTCTTTAAAGCCATCAGAGTCTGAAAAGAAACAAACGGTGAATAAAGAATTCATACTGATTTAATATTTTTATTTGCAGTCGGTACATATGCAAAACTATCTATATTCGATTATCCTCCTTATTGCATTGCTTAAGACTTCATATTCCATTTCTACTGCTTTCTTGGCATATTTTGGTAATATATATTTATTTAGATGTTAATCTTTCTTTTATTTACTACATTCAATACTTACATTTAATCACAATAATTATAATTTAAGTCTTAAATAAATTACAGTTTCCTTTGCCAAGTTACTTAATTCAGCCAAGACCAGTGTTATTGTAATTTTATTTATATACAATTATAAGGTAATTAATATTTTACATTAGATTTCATTTTATATTTTCATTTTATTTATTTTTAGTGTAAGTTTAAGTATTTTTTATGTGCATTTGTTAATTTGACTAGGTTCTTAAAATGTGATGTGATCTTTTTAATGTTTTTTCTTCAAAATCTAGACTTTCTTCTTTTATTTTGTTTTAGCTTTATTTCAGTCAGCGAAAAAGATAACAAAACTGAGTACATGCATATTGCATACATATATACATATTTTTATTTATACAGCTGTATATACAGAACATAATGCACAAATCTGTTCATACGTTTTCTGCTATTTTCTTTCTTAGTCCTATTTAAATGTTCTTCATATTAATTTCATATGTAATTTCTTGTGTGTTTTCAGTTTGCGAATGAAGCTCATTCTGATTCTGAGTGTGACTCATCACGTCAGATGTATTGTTTTATAATGAGCTCTTTTCTCCTTTCCATAAGGGCTGAATGTGTGATGGACACATACTGCAGTGATGATCAGTCTGATGCTGCCAGACAACAAGAGAGACACTATTACCTGCTGTCAGAGCTGCAGGCGCTCGTGAAGGACCTGCCCAGGTACAGAGATCAGATCACACCGCATTACACCAGATCACACCACACCAGATCACACCAGATCACATCACACTACACCAGATCACACCAGATCACATCACACTACACCAGATCACATCACACCACACCAGATCACACCACACCACACCAGATCACATCACACCACACCAGATCACACCAGATCACATCACACTACACCAGATCACATCACACCACACCAGATCACACCACACCACACCAGATCACACCAGATCACATCACACCACACCAGATCACATCACACCACACCAGATCACATCACACCACACCAGATCACACCACACCACACCAGATCACACACCAGATCACACCACACCAGATCACACCACACCACACCAGATCACATCACACCACACCAGATCACATCACACCACACCAGATCACACCACACCACACCAGATCACACCACACCAGATCACACCACACCAGATCACACCACACCACACCAGATCACACCACACCAGATCACACCACATCACACCAGATCACACCACACCAGATCACACCACACCACACCAGATCACATCACACCAGACCAGATCACACCACACCAGATCACACCACACCACACCAGATCACATCACACGATCACATCACACCACACCAGATCACACCACACCAGATCACATCACACCACACCAGATCACATCACACCACACCAGATCACATCACACCACACCAGATCACACCACACCACACCAGATCACACCACACCAGATCACATCACACCACACCAGATCACATCACATCACACCACACCAGATCACATCACATCACACCACACCAGATCACATCACACCACACCAGATCACATCACACCAGATCACATCACACCACACCAGTTCACACCACACCAGATCACATCACACCACACCAGATCACATCACACTACACCAGATCACATCACACCACACCAGATCACATCACACCAGATCACATCACACCACACCAGATCACACCACACCACACCAGATTACACACCAGATCACACCACACCACACCAGATCACACCACACCACACTAGATCACACCACACCACACCAGATCACACCACATCACACCAGATCACACCACACCAGATCACATCACACCATACCAGATCACACCAGATCAAATCACACCACACCAGATCACATCACACCACACCAGATCACATCACACCACACCACACCAGTTCACACCACACCACACCAGTTCACACCACACCACACCACATCACACCAGATCACATTACACCACACCAGATCACATCAACCCACACCAGATCACATCAACCCACACCAGATCACACCACACCACACCACATCACACCAGATCACATCACACCACACCACACCACATCACACCAGATCACATCACACCACACCACATCACACCAGATCACACCACACCACACCACACCACACCAGATCACATCACACCACACCACACCAGATCACATCACATTACACCACACCAGATCACATCAACCCACACCAGATCACACCACACCACACCACATCACACCAGATCACATCACACCACACCACACCACATCACACCAGATCACATCACACCACACCACACCAGTTCACATCACACCACACCACACCAGATCACATCACACCACACCAGATCACATCACACCACACCACACCAGATCACATCACACCACACCACACCAGTTCACATCACACCACACCACACCAGATCGCATCACACCACACCACACCACACCACACCAGATCGCATCACACCACACCACACCACACCACACCAGTTCACATCACACCACACCACATCACACCACACCACACCACACCAGTTCACATCAACCCACACCAGATCACACCACACCACACCACACCACATCACACCAGATCACATCACACCACATCACACCACACCAGTTCACATCACACCACACCACACCACATCACACCACACCACACCACACCAGTTCACATCAACCCACACCAGATCACACCAGATCACACCATATCACACCAGATCACACCACACCACACCAGATCACCCCACAACACACCAGATCACATCAACCCACACCAGATCACACTACACCAGATCACACCACACCAGATCACACCACACCAGATCACATCACACCACACCAGTTCACACCACACCAGATCACATCACACCACACCAGATCACATCACACTACACCAGATCACATCACACCACACCAGATCACATCACACCAGATCACATCACACCACACCAGATCACACCACACCACACCAGATTACACACCAGATCACACCACACCACACCAGATCACACCACACCACACTAGATCACACCACACCACACCAGATCACACCACATCACACCAGATCACACCACACCAGATCACATCACACCATACCAGATCACACCAGATCAAATCACACCACACCAGATCACATCACACCACACCAGATCACATCACACCACACCACACCAGTTCACACCACACCACACCAGTTCACACCACACCACACCACATCACACCAGATCACATTACACCACACCAGATCACATCAACCCACACCAGATCACATCAACCCACACCAGATCACACCACACCACACCACATCACACCAGATCACATCACACCACACCACACCACATCACACCAGATCACATCACACCACACCACATCACACCAGATCACACCACACCACACCACACCACACCAGATCACATCACACCACACCACACCAGATCACATCACATTACACCACACCAGATCACATCAACCCACACCAGATCACACCACACCACACCACATCACACCAGATCACATCACACCACACCACACCACATCACACCAGATCACATCACACCACACCACACCAGTTCACATCACACCACACCACACCAGATCACATCACACCACACCAGATCACATCACACCACACCACACCAGATCACATCACACCACACCACACCAGTTCACATCACACCACACCACACCAGATCGCATCACACCACACCACACCACACCACACCAGATCGCATCACACCACACCACACCACACCACACCAGTTCACATCACACCACACCACATCACACCACACCACACCACACCAGTTCACATCAACCCACACCAGATCACACCACACCACACCACACCACATCACACCAGATCACATCACACCACATCACACCACACCAGTTCACATCACACCACACCACACCACATCACACCACACCACACCACACCAGTTCACATCAACCCACACCAGATCACACCAGATCACACCATATCACACCAGATCACACCACACCACACCAGATCACCCCACAACACACCAGATCACATCAACCCACACCAGATCACACTACACCAGATCACACCACACCAGATCACACCACACCAGATCACACCACGACACACCAGTTCACATCAACCCACACCAGATCACATTACACCACATCACACCAGATCACATCACACCACATCACACCAGATCACACCACGACACACCAGATCACACCACACCAGATCACACCACACCACATCACACCAGATCACACACCAGATCACACCACACCACACCAGATCACATCACACCACCCAGATCACACCACACCAGATCACATCACACCACACCAGATCACATCACACCAGATCAGATCACATCACACCACACCACATCACACCACACCAGATCACACCACACCACGCCACATCACACCAGATCACATCACACCACACCACATCACACCACACCACACCAGTTCACATCAACCCACACCAGATCACATCACACCCCACCACACCACATCACATCACACCACACCACACCAGTTCACATCAACCCACACCAGATCGCACCACACCACACCACACCACATCACACCAGATCACATCACACCACACCACACCAGTTCACATCAACCCACACCAGATCACACCACACCAGATCACACCACAACACATCACACCACACCAGATCAGATCACACCAGATCACACCACATCACACCACACCAGATCACATCACACCACACCAGATCACATCACACCAGATCACACCACATCACACCACACCAGTTCACATCAACCCACACCAGATCACACCACACCACACCACATCACACCAGATCACACCACACCACATCACACCACACCACACCAGTTCACATCAACCCACACCAGATCACACCACACCACACCAGTTCACATCAACCCACACCAGATCACATCAACCCACACCAGATCACACCACACCACATCACACCAGATCACACCACATCACACCAGATCACACCAGTTCACATCAACCCACACCAGATCACATTACACCACATCACACCAGATCACACCACACCTCACCAGATCACCACACCTCACCAGATCACCACACCTCACCAGATCACCACACCTCACCAGATCACACCACACCTCACCAGATCTCACCACATCACACCTCACCAGATCCCATCACACCTCACCAGATCCCATCACACCTCACCAGATCCCATCACACCTCACCAGATCACACCACATTACACCTCACCAGATCACACCACATCACACCTCACCAGATCCCATCACACCTCACCAGATCACACCACATCACACCTCACCAGATCACACTACATCACACCTCACCAGATCACACCACACCTCACCAGATCACCACACCTCACCAGATCACACCACATCACACCTCACCAGATCACATCACACCTCACCAGATCACATCACACCTCACCAGATCACACCACACCACACCTCACCAGATCACACCACATCACACTTCACCAGATCACACCACATTTCACCAGATCACACCACATCACACCTCACCAGATCACACCACATTTCACCAGATCACACCACACCTCACCAGATCACACCACACCTCACCAGATCACACCACACCAGATCACACCAGATCACACCATATCACACCAGATCACACCACACCACACCAGATCACCCCACAACACACCAGATCACATCAACCCACACCAGATCACACTACACCAGATCACACCACACCAGATCACACCACACCAGATCACACCACGACACACCAGTTCACATCAACCCACACCAGATCACATTACACCACATCACACCAGATCACATCACACCACATCACACCACATCACACCACATCACACCACGACACACCAGATCACACCACACCAGATCACACCACACCACATCACACCAGATCACACACCAGATCACACCACACCACACCAGATCACATCACACCACCCAGATCACGCCACACCAGATCACACCACACCAGATCACATCACACCAGATCAGATCACATCACACCACACCACACCACATCACACCACACCAGTTCACATCAACCCACACCACACCACATCACACCACACCACACCACACCACACCAGTTCACATCAACCCACACCAGATCACATCACACCAGATCACATCACACCACACCACACCACATCACACCACACCACACCACACCAGTTCACATCAACCCACACCAGATCACATCACACCCCACCACACCACACCACACCAGTTCACATCAACCCACACCAGATCGCACCACACCACACCACACCACATCACACCAGATCACATCACACCACACCACACCACACCAGTTCACATCAACCCACACCAGATCACACCAGATCACACCACACCAGATCAGATCACACCACATCACACCAGATCACATCACACCACACCAGATCACATCACACCAGATCACACCACACCACATCACACCACACCAGTTCACATCAACCCACACCAGATCACACCACACCACACCACATTACACCAGATCACATCACACCACACCACATCACACCACACCAGTTCACATCAACCCACACCAGATCACACCACACCACATCACACCACACCACACCAGTTCACATCAACCCACACCAGATCACATCACACCACACCACACCACACCACACCAGTTCACATCAACCCACACCAGATCACACCACACCACATCACACCAGACCACACCACATCACACCAGATCACACCACACCAGATCACACCACGACACACCAGTTCACATCAACCCACACCAGATCACATTACACCACATCACACCAGATCACACCACACCTCACCAGATCACCACACCTCACCAGATCACACCACACCTCACCAGATCTCACCACATCACACCTCACCAGATCCCATCACACCTCACCAGATCCCATCACACCTCACCAGATCACATCACACCTCACCAGATCACACCACATCACACCTCACCACATCACACCTCACCAGATCCCATCACACCTCACCAGATCACATCACACCTCACCAGATCACACCACATCACACCTCACCAGATCACACCACATCACACCTCACCAGATCACACCACACCTCACCAGATCACACCACACCTCACCAGATCACACCACACCTCACCAGATCACACCACACCTCACCAGATCACATCACACCTCACCAGATCACACCACATCACACCTCACCAGATCACACCACATTTCACCAGATCACACCACATCACACCTCACCAGATCACACCACATTTCACCAGATCACACCACACCTCACCAGATCACACCACATCACACCTCACCAGATCACACCACACCTCACCAGATCACACCACATCACACCTCACCAGATCACACCACATTTCACCAGATCACACCACACCTCACCAGATAACATCACACCAGATCACACCACATCACACCTCACCAGATCACACCACACCTCACCAGATCACACCACACCACACCAGATCACACCACACCTCACCAGATCACACCACATTACACCTCACCTCACCAGATCACACCACATTTCACCAGATCACACCACATCACACCTCACCAGATCACACCACATCACACCAGATCACACCACACCTCACCCCTTCTACAAATCTCTCTCTCTCTCTCTCTCTCTCTCTCTCTCTCTATATATATATATAATCTTTATCGATCCTTTGGCAGACTAAACACTTTCTACCATGTCTGCTCATGTAAGTGGAGTAATAAGTGTGTTCGTTTCAGCTCGTTTCAGCAGCGTCTGTCGTACACCACGCTCAGTGATCTGGCTCAAGCGCTCATCGACGGGACGGTGTATGAAATAGTGCAAGGGCTGCTGGACATTCAACACCTGACAGAGAAAAACCTCTATAACCAGAGACAGAAACTACACAGCGAACACAGAGGTGTGTGTGTTTGTGTGCGTGTTTCAGGCCTTACTGAAAACAAGGAGTGTTTGATTTGTGTCTTTCTGTTTCAGCACTCAAGCAGGATTTGGTTCGGAAACACAAACAGGCTCTGCAAACGTGCAAGTCTCATAATTTGGCCGTTATGAAAACCAATCAGCGAGCCGAAAATGAGGTAAGATGGACTGTTGGTGTGTTTTCATCGAGTCCTACAGCAAACACTGCCTGACTGTCACCGTTTCAGGCTCTCGATCAGCGAGTGAAAGATGAGCAGAGGATGATGGATGAGAAGATCGTGGCTGAAATGGATCAGAAGGTTCTGGATCAACAGAACACGCTGGAGAAAGCAGGCGTATCGGGTTTCTACATCACCACCAACCCACAGGTCACTCTCTGTCTTCACAACTAACAAAAACATGTTCTAAGAACGTTTTGCTAATGTTCTTACTAAGTTATGAAAACATTGTTTTCTGAATGTTCTCTGAACATTCAAACCATCTTGTTTAATAAAAGTTTGAAAATCTTGATTATGTGAACGTTAAAGTCCCTGTAAAGCAGGGTTCCAGACTGCGACCAAATTGGTCGCATATGCGACCATTTTTTGAGAATGTGCGAGTTAAAATGTTATGTGGTCGCATTTGTGCGAGTGGACGCTTGAGCAACAGAACGCCGTTGTATCAGCTGCTGCAGTCCGTAAATTATGTTCAAAATGAACGAGTAGGCTACATCATGAATCAATTTTCCAAACCGTGTTTTTGACTTATTCTGAATCACTACGGTACGCTTATAATTAGGGCTGCAACCAACGATTATTTTGATAATCGATTAATCGGACGATTATTTTTTCGATTAATCGATTAATCGGGTAAAAAATTCAATTTGATTTTTTTGTTTATTGACTAAATAAAACCCGGTTACACTTTATTTTAAGGTGTCCTTGTTACAGTGTAATTATATATTTAAGTACAGAGTAATATTAAGTAACTACATGTATTTACTATAGGAATAGGGTAGGATTAGGATTTGGTTGAGGGTTAGTTGCATGTAATTATGCATAATTTACTGTTATTACTACAGTAAGTACATGTAACATATGTAACAAGGACACCGTAAAATAAAGTGTTACCTAAAACCATAAATTAGGATATTTATGTGTAAAAGTGTACTTTAAAAAGTGCAAAAGCCACACATTGAGTTTTAGTAATATCAATATTTGCATTGTTTTTAATGATAATTGCTGATGGCAAGTTGACAACCATGATTAATGTAAAAAAAAAAAAAAAAAAAACATTTATATCCAACATATTGTTTTAACACAATTTTTGTTAAAACAAATTTACACAGACATGTGTTCAGATGTGAAGATATAAACTAAAAACATCTAAAATATATAATTCATAAAATTTTTATTTAAAATTAATTGAATTATAAGCATACATTGATAAAATAAATATAGAAAGACTGAAAACAAGCGTGTGAACGTAGAGCTGCAGTAGATCGCTTTTGAAAAACAATTAAAACTTAATAGACAAATGCTGTAAATAGAGAACGGAATAGAAGTACGCAGCAAGTTAACAGGCTTGATTAAAAAGACAGGAAAAATGATGCATTAGTGCACAAGCATTCGCTGAAAACCACTGAGTACAGTGACTAAAACAATCTTTTACTGCTGCTGTTATTAACTGCCTTTATATTTAGTGCTTCGCTTTGTAAAGACCGTTTTAATTTAACCTATTTCTGCGGTAGCGCTATTTTAATCCATCACTTATGTTGCGAGCGAACTGATTGCGCAACCTGATGTTTGAGACACAATACAGACATCCCAAGTCTCCCGGAAGTTCTGGGAGTCACCCGCATATTGATAGCGGCTATTATCGATTTTATCGATTAGTTGTTGCAGCCCTACTTATAATAAGTGTTTATATTCGGACTATTTTATCCCGGGCTCGTCTCGGCTGCGGAGTAGCCCAGTGCCTGCGTGACTCGCCATAGACATTAACGGAGAGAAGTTCCGTCTACAATGTTCTTCCGCAAGACACGTGCAGTTTATTTATTGACGAACGTAGACGTCACGCGCATCGCACACTGATGGTGAAACGCGCCAATTACGAATTCACAAATTAAGGCATATAAAAATGATAAAAATGGTCTCACGAAACACGAAAGCCCCTTCCTCCTACGTCTTTTCAGCGGTTATATTTTCCTCTGTCGAGCGATTACTCTCATGATCGCTCGACAGAGGAAAAGGAAATTATTATAAAATCCAGAAGGTAATTGGAGTGTGAGATTTCTGCTTTTTGTTACAACTATAAACTTTGATAACGAAAAATCTGTATCAGTTTATTATAATAGCTACTCTAATCTTTTAAAATGTATGTTTAATGATTTTTAAAAGATAGAAAGATGATTATAGATAGATAGATAGAATATGATTCAAATGTAAATAGATAGATTGTATATAATTCAAATGTAAAATGCTTAAAATTACAGATTAAAATTACTGTCCAAAATCCATGAAAATCCTGAAATTTGGCAATGATAATTAATATATTACAGGTATTTCTGCTGCAACCCAGAAAGCCTTTGCTAGCCTTGGTCCATTAAAACCACTATTCATCAGCATGCATTGATTAATCCCATGGCATGTAGCAAAAAAAAAAAAAAAAAAGGTGCGACCAAATCATATGCTGGTGCGACCAACTGAGAAAGTTGGTAGCACCAGTGCAACCAGTGGAAAAGTTAGTCTGGAGCCCTGCTGTAAAGGCAATTCTAAAAAAAAAATCTAAACACGTTATAAATGTTAGAAATGTATTGCTAAAACATATTACAAAGACTGTGAACTGTGAAGTACTGAATTGTGGAGTTAGACCGTTAAACAGGTTTTCACCATTGCTATTTTCTGGATTTTTTTGGGCGGGGCTAAAACGGGGCTCGATGACGCACTGGAGCCCCTGAGCTCCTGGACACGCCCCTACTTGATGACGCACTGATGCTGGCCCCTCCCCTAACAATAGAGCCCATTCACATCAGTTTGCCGCTCAATCTCGAGTTACTGTCAGTACTATTACTTACTACAGCCTACAGTTTGCTAGCTAGCTATGCCTGCGACACGGAAATGCGTAGCCCCCAGCGGACACGCCCCCCCAGCGGACACGCCCCCAGCAGACACGCCCCCCCCCCCCCCCCAGCGGACACGCCCCCAGCGTCTGAGAGCAGAGAATAATGCTAATTTTTTCAAGATTTTGATAGCTTATTTTATGTACTTGCCGGCTTTTTTATCATTCACATTTGGCTGGGTGGCTAATAACACATTTTTCTGTGGTGTGACAAACTCAGAACACATACTTAATTTTGACTTTACAGGGACTTTAAGGTGTTTTGCGAACATTATGAGAACGATACTTTTGAAATGTTCTCTGAACATTCTTAAACAAGCAGTAACATTAAAAAATGTTAGATAAACGTCCAACTAAATTCTCATATCAAAAGTTATTAAAGGTTCTCTAAGCGATCCTGGGTGACGTCACTTCTTGTTGACGTTCGAACTATTGTCAAACAAAACGGAGGCTAGCTAGACCCTCCCTCCTCCTCATCCGCACACTAACCCCCCAAACCACACCCCCAAACCCTTCTTGTCGGTCATTGGCTGGAACAGTTTGTTATGTTTTGGGGAGCGGGTCGCTGCAGTTTGTTTTTGGTGCTGTTTGTGAAGCATGGGCTGTCTACAGAGATCGCGTTTCTTTACAGTGTGTTCAGGGGACAGGCAGCCAGCGGATAGTGAGGAGATGTTTGCTGTATGTGACAAAAAATGTTTTGGCCTAAAAAACACATGACATCGCTTAGAGCACCTTTAAAGACCAGATCATTTTGAACAAACACTCTATGTAGTACAACAATGCTTTTTCCATTAATTTCTCCCATAGGGATTTAAAAAAAATCTTTGTTATAACAGCCGTTATAAGTCATGAATCAAGCTAACCAGTTACGAGGTGGATCATAACACTACAAACTGCAATAACTATTTAAAAATCTGATGAAAAGACAAATTAAAAAATGTTAATTATATCTATAGAAACAATATTTTTTAACTTTTGCGGTGTTTCATGGGAGTGGGCGGAGCTATTTTGGTGTGGTTTACTTGTTTAGACTCTGATTAATGTAATGTTCTGTACAGCATCATGGGTAATGTAGTTTTTCCACTACAAATTCCTCTGTTAAAAATGATCATTTAAAAAAAATAATGTTGGCAGATGTCTTCAACAGAAGCAAATATCATCGCTTAACACACAGTGGAGTTAATTAGGTAAGGGTTAATGCCAGACGAGGTGTCCATTGTGAGGTATTAATGGACGACAGCGAGGCGTGAACCGAAGTCCATTAATACCTGACAATGGACACCTCGAAGGGCATTAACCCGCTTATACCATGGTCACTTGCCAAATAACCCATTTTTAAAACATTAGTTTATATTTTAATTAGTTTTACAATCGAAATCTAAAGTTTTTACAAACAATAACTTGGTTTCCCTGGTTACGCCTGACGGTTTATTTAGCAGCCGGAGATGTTTATAGTCCGCTCAGCTCGAAGAACCCTTTAGTTTAGCTAACTCACAAGCCAGAAAGTTAACGTATTTTTTTTCATGTAAGTTAGGCTTGTCTAGCCATGGGCGTTACACTTTCGGGTTTTTTTTAACCTATAATTAAAACACACAGGTAGGCATAGTATAACGGCTAACTAGATGTTTGTTTTGATAGAATAAATTGTAAACAGATACTTTGACTGCCTGTTGCTATACGCACAACCGGCGCTACGTCATAGAATGTCTCTGAACAGATTCACGCCCACTTTTGGGGGAAATAAACTAGACTTCCCATAGACTTCAATACAAAATAGCGTCACAAAACAACGTCCGTACACAGCCGAAAGGCGTGAATAACTTAAGAAATCATTAAGATTAAACATGTCAAGTAATTATATGTCCACCCTGTCTGCCATAGAGCGTAAAAGATACATACACAAACTTAATTTGGTCAATTTAAAAACATGTCCCTTCATTCTCCCAGCGTCAAATTGGTGTAACAACCCCACCCAGTGGCCAGAGGTGTCTTTCTTTTACTGTCTATGGTCTAACCCTGACATTTACTCGTATCGTACTTCATCGAGTCACCATATGGTAAGCCAATGAATGATTTTACTTCGTTTTTGAAAGTAAACGTCTTTAAATGAACTATATATTTTGTCTTATAATATACATTATAATATATATAACCTCACTGGGTGGGGTGGTTGTTACACCAATTTGACGCTGGAAGAATAAACGGACATGTTTTTAAAGTCCCCATGAAATCAAAATTGACCATACTTACTTTGTTTGCCTAAATTGATCGTTTTGTGGTGAACAATTCATCCATGCAAGTCAATCCACACAAAAAAAATGTTTTGGCTTCGTAATCTTTAATCAAATTTTGAAAATGCCCCTCCCCTCTGCATTGGAGGACCTTGCCTGATGACGTAGGCTTTACGGTTTGGGCGTCTGCTTAACATCCGTAACCACGCCCCTCCAACTGACAGTAGACAGGCTGAATGAAAACACCTACTTTTCTAGATCCAATCAGGTGCTAGTTGGAAAAAAGCCACGCCTAATATTTTGCCTCATTTAGTATTCCGTTTCTCTCGGAAATACGTCACAACACTGGAGAAAAGTCGTTTGCAACTTCCGGTTCACGGGGACTTTAAATTGACCAAATTAAGTTTGTGTATGTATCTTTTACGCTCTATGGCAGGTAGGGTGGACATATAATTACTTGACATGTTTTATATAAGTGATTTCTTAAGTTATTTACTCCTGTCGGCTGTGTACGGACGTTGGTTTTTTCCATTATTTTGTATTGAAGTCTATGGGAAGTCTAGTTTGTTTTCCCCCAAAAAGGGGCGGGGACGAAATTGACAGTTAAGTTCCCGGATGTGCCGGTTGTGCGTATGGTTACTCACAGCTGATGTAGCCAGCGCATTTATTAATTAATTTCGAACGGTAAACAGTCAGTTTCACCAGAACTCCTTTACTAGGTGTCCTCTATCACTCTTTAATGGACACCCTGCAGCCAATCAGAATCGAGTATTCACCCAGACCATGGTATAATTATAGTTAAAAATCAATTTCGATATGGAGAAAATGAATGGGGTTTTTACTTTCGTAACCGACTGTTGCGCCCTTTGAATGTTACATGAAGAATGTTTGTTCTTTACTTTGAGAGAACCTTGATTCGAGTTCTGAGGACGTCCCTGTCAGCTGGGTCACTCCTGCTCTGCTTCTTTTCTTTTTTTCATTCTTTCCAAGCCGGTTTTGTGTGTCACAGGAGGTGATGATGCAGATGAATCTGCTGGAGCTGGTACTGAAGCTGCAGCAGAAAGAGACTGTTTCCGGATCTCTGCCTTGAGACACTCGACTGCGTGCTCTCTGATGGTGTGGAAAGACTCAGACACCAGTCGAGCTGAAGGACCCGTTCTGATTACAGTAGGACGTCAGACCTTCAAAAGTGTTGGAATCTCTTTTTGTTGACATTTATGTGATAAAGATGATGATGGGCTGAAAGGTCAATAACATGACCCTGGACAAGACTGAAAAAGTGCCTTCCTTTTGACATTAAATATTGTTTTGTATATAAAATTGATTTGCATCCAAGCTCGTTGGCAAACATTCAGTGCACTGTTATGATTTGTGTTATATGTTAAGCAACTGTATTATAAAAATGAAAACTGACAGTGTGTTTGTTTGATTTATTTTTTTGAACAGGATTTGCATTATTAAATCAGATCAAGCTTGACCGTCTGCTTTGCATTATTGAAAAAGTGTTCAAATATGTTGGAGAATTTTAAACCATTGATTTTAGGCAATGAGATGCTGGCGTTTTATCATTCAACAGGTGAGTAAGGTCTTTTATTGACTGTACTCTTATGATTTATGACTTCTGTTTTCTAGTTTTTTTCACCAGAGTAATTGATGAGAAAATCAGGGTATTAAACTAGTTTTCCATTCAGAGCACAGGCAACACAGGGATACGGACATCAAGATCTCACGATCACACTATCTCAGGTACAGTTGTGGGATTTTACTGTCCTTTAACATTTATAAATGACCTTCAGAAGAAGCTTCTGGAAGGCAGACTTATGAAAATAAATGATATCTACTAGTTTACTGTGTGTTCGCTGCTGGTTATTGTGGGGATTTTCTCTAGAGCCCGTAAATTGTTCTACAACAATATCCATCTTTACTGAGAAGCTTCTGCTGAAATTGATCGCTTAAGCAGAAATCAACACTTTCAGCATTAAGAAACCCACCTAGACCTCGCAAACACAACTGAAGTACAGCAACAGAAACTAGCAGAGCAAGAGCAGAAGATCTGGAAGACGGCTGGAAACAAACGGCTGATCTCAGGTGCCGACGGTCCCAGGTATATTTAAATACCTTTTTTATTTTCAACATTTTTTTTATTTAGTTTAACAACTAAAACTAAAATAAAAAAATAAAAGTTATGTAGACATTAAAAAAAACGAATAAAATTAACTAAAAACTTTAACTTAAATTAAAATGAAAACAGAATATATATTAGGGCTGATTAATCACGATTAATCACATCCAAAATAAAAGTTTGTGTTTACATAATATATGTGGGTGCACTGTGTATAATTATTTTATATATATATAAATACACACACACATGCATGTATATTTAAGAAAAAAATATTATTTATATATAAAATATTTATATATAATATAAATGATATATAAATCTATATACATGGAAATATTTCTTAAATATATACAAGCATGTGTGTGTGTATTTATATATATATAAAATAATTATACACAGTGCACCCACATATATTATGTAAACACAAACTTTTATTTTGGATGTGATTAATCACGATTAATCATTTGACAGCCCTAATATATATACACACACACACACAATTAAACCATCAAAATATGAGTTACATAATTTAACATTAACAAAAAACTTTAACTAAAATTAAAATGAAAACAGAATATATATATATATATATATATATATAATCACACACACACACACACACACACACACACACACACACACACACACACACACACACACACAATTAAACCATCAAAATATGAGTAACAATTTATATTTTTAAATAAGAAGGAAAACAAAACACTAAACCTTGTTAAGTATTTATTTGACAGTTATTTGGCAAAAAAGGCAAACTACAGCTACAGTTTTATTTTTACATGCAAATAAAAAAATGCTCAGAAAAACAAAAAGCATACATATTCAGTTATTAATATTGCGTTGGTTCTCTCTTGTTTTTGCATGTGTTTATAATTTCTTTGTATGACAGCTTTGTCAAAAATGATGTCCCACAATTTGTCATATTTCATCGACTCCAAGCACAACTACACAATGTGATCACAAAATCTTAAACAAATTTTTAATAATATTTGAATAAAGGGTGAAGATGTCTCTTTGTCCCCTGTGTTTTCACTTCTGGCTAAATATAACTATAATAGTATTTCAATGATATTAAAATAACACTGATTAACTTTTGATCGCAGTGTGTGTCAAATCTGAGCCGAGTTTGAGACATTGAGATGTTTTTTGTGTGATTACTCAGGAGACTTTCCATGTGTTTCATTTCATCTGTGGTCTTTGTTCTCTGTGAGACGTGTGACCCTGACCTTGCAAAATGTCCTAATGCGTTTCCCGATATATATTCTGTCCTCTGAGTGTTCGGGATTGTTTTAGGTTTTGCTGTATGAAAGTCCACCGCTGAAGAAAATCACCAAGCTGTCAGATGTTAAAAGGTTAGAAGGTCCATAAACCGCTTCAAATCTGTCAACTTTTCTGCAGGTCTGACTTTAACATGCACTCTCAAAATGACTACTTCAAATCTTTTATGATCGGAGCATTTAGGGCTGTTTGTGAGCTTTATAACCTTTTATTGCAAGAAAAAAAAGCTTGAAAAGGAGTGAAAATGCAGGGGATTCAGCTCTTGTTTCTTCAGAAAATGTGAAAATCCAGTTGTTTTTAGTGCGAAATGTGTTAACCGAAATGAACAACAAAGAACAAGAGTAACAACTAAATAAGAAACAGGATGTGATGTCATTGGTCTCAAGTTTGGAGTCGGTAAGATTTTGTCATTTTTTAAAAAATAAATCTCTTCTGCTCACCGAGGCTGTATTTATTTGATCAAAAATACAGTTAAAAATATGAAAAATCATTGTTATTTAAAGTAGCCGTTTTCTATATGAATATATAGTAAAATGTAATTTATTCCTGTGATTTTCAGCATCATTACTCCAGTCTTCAGTGTCACATGATCCTTCAGAAATCACTCTAATATGATGATCTGATGCTCAAGATACATTTATGATTATTGATTATTATCAATGTTGAAAACAGTTCATATTTTTGTGAAAACTGACACATTTTATTTTTCAGGATTCTCAACAAAGACCTCGAGTAAAGCTATGTGGACGGCAGATGTTCCTCATGTAGCGCTGAGCTCCAGAAACAGGTGCAGTGAGAACTAACACACGTCACACTGTAGTTCAGCCTAGAGGTCTGGACGGGCTTTAAACTGAAGCCCGAACCCGGCCCGTACCCGCGATCATTTAACCCGACCCGACCCGACAATTACATTTACATATTAAGCCCGAACCTGAGGTCCATTCTGTTTCTCACAGCAAATACGCGCGAGAGCGGTAGCACATGCGCAAAACAGTTTTGTGATATAAATGATATGATAAAATAAAACAAATAATTTTAAAAAAAAGTATATATATATATATATCATTATCATTATATTTGAGAGAGAGAGCCTGACTGTGTGTATGCACATATTGCACATCTGCGCACGCCTACTTTCTCTCTCGCGCGTGCCGGTCACCACAACACAGCAAGCAGGCAAAGCACACGGCACGCAAACTATATATAGCCTATTTACCCGAACCCGACCCGAACCCGAGGCTGTTCATTAAACATTAACCCGAACCCGACCCGAAACCCGCACATTTTTCGGGACCCGTCGGGCTCGGGTCGGGTAGCAGACCTCTAGTTCAGCCCTCAGAAACGTGTCATCAGCACATCAGTACACACACACACACACACACCTGTGATCCGTCACACCCAGAACAGGAAGCAGCAGCTCCTCGCTTCCTGTGGCTGAACACACAGTACAGATGCTGGAACACACAGGGAGAAAAGAGTCCTGGGGATTTTCTGTACGGTATAAGTGTGTGTTTACAGAGAAAATATTGACCTTTGACTCTCTGTGTGTGTGTGTGTGTTTGTGGCCTGGTGAACGCTACATCATGAGGACGAAATGTCCCTAAAAAGATGACAAAATCTGAAATATTTGTCCTTGTGGGGAAATTTTTTTGGCCTCATGAGGAAAACAGCTTATAAATCAAACTAAGTGATGGTTTTTGAAAATGTAAAAATGCAGAAAGTGTGTGTGTGTGTGTGTGTGTGTGTGTGTGTGTGTGTGTGTGTGTGTGTGTGTGTGTGTGTGTGTGTGTGTGTGTGTGTGTGTGTGTGTGTGTTCTGTACTCTTGCATTTGCAGCGTTGTGCCATTAGGAGGCAGAGCGAATCAACAGATGAGTTTCAACACTTAGTAAAACACACACAAGGAATAGAGTTCTTCTGCTTTTATTACTTACGTCTGTCAGATATATAGTGTGAATATAATATAATAAATTTATATATAGTGATTATGTATTACCAAATACATATTATATTTTAACATAAAATAGATGGATAGATGGATAGATAGATGGATGGATGGATGGATGGATGGATGGATGGATGGATGGATGGATGGATGGATGGATAGGTAGATAGATTATAGGTGGATGGATGGATAGATGGATAGATGGATGGATGGATGGATGGATGGATGGATGGATAGATGGATGGATAGATGGATAGATGGAAAGATAGATAGATTATAGATGGATGGATGGATGGATTGATGGATGGATAGGTAGATAGATTATAGATGGATGGATGGATAGATGGATAGATGGATGGATAGATGGATGGATGGATAGATGGAAAGATAGATAGATTATAGATAGATGGATGGATAGATAGATAGATAGATAGATAGATAGATAGATAGATAGATAGATAGATGGATAGATGGATAGGTAGATAGATAGATGGATGGATGGATGGATAGATAGATAGATTATAGATGGATGGATGGATGGATGGATGGATGGATGGATGGATGGATGGATGGATGGATGGATGGATAGATTATAGATAGATGGATAGATGGATGGATAGATGGATAGATGGATGGATGGATGGATGGATGGATGGATGGATGGATGGATGGATGGATGGATGGATAGATAGATAGATAGATAGATAGATAGATAGATAGATAGATAGATAGATAGATAGATAGATAGATAGATTGATAGAT